CGTCTTATGGTGCAAAAAATACGGTAATGGCACTGCTTCAATAAGGAAGTTGAATATCCTTGTGTGTGGTCTGTGATAAACATTTGTGTTCTAAATTCAGGCCCAGCTGTAATTTTGGGTTGCTGTCTTAAAGCAGGCCAATCTTGAATGTACTGCATTTGTCTAGGTGTGTTGAAACTCAGTTAGGAATAATTTAAAGCAGGGCATTTCTGTAGCGGACGTGTTCACAAATTCTACATTTTTCTTTTACATACAGATGCTATATCCTTTCAAATGAAGATAATAGAATAAAAGTGTCTCTCCGGCAGTCCAGGTAAGAAACAATATTCTAAGCTGAGACTAGTATATTACAAATAGATTTTTAGAAATATTCAGCACCCAATTGTACAAATATTCAAAAATTTCCCAACATTTGGATTATGAGTACTTAGAGAACTTAACATTTGGGTCTTGTGTATATTTTAGAAATTAATAATATGTGAGCATTTGCTGAAATTGCTCACGTTTGTCCAGTTGTACAAATAATACAGATGCAAGTAATATTCAGATGTCTATTCCTTGCTTTCTGTAACACATTTTTGTGTAACTGGGAGAACAGCAGTCTACAATTTCATTATTATTTCGAAGTGTAAATGGATATTGTCAGCAATGATCAGCGGCTTCTGAATATTCAGTTGTAGGAATGTTTGGCTGCTTTGGCTATAGTTGCTGCTTGATACTCTTCAAATATTTGGATTTACTGTGCTTCACACAAAGGGGGTGTTTGATTGCTTCTCCATCTTTTTGTAGGATAAATCCCAAGAGCAATAGTAAAGTAGAAGATCCTGAAATCACAACACTTGATGATGTGCAGAAAGGTCAGCATGTCAGAGGCTATGTCAAATCCGTCACATCATCAGGCATTTTTTTGGGGTATGTTTTGCTTGCTGACCATAAAAGTTAATTCCATTTTGTTTTATTAATGTCTTCATGGTGATTTTAGGTGTCATACTTCTAGATCTGTGGTTCCCAACCTTAGGTAACCCAAGTGTTATTGGACTGCAATCAAGGTTCCCTTTAAGCTTCCCTCTGTGTAGCTTTCTTCTTCCTTCACGCAGTGATCATGTTCAACCCCTTTGGTTCTGGTTGCAGTGGAACCTTGCGTGTGTGTGGGGGGAGTGGGGGGAGGTAGTCGTGTGCAAGGGAGGTTGAACCTGCCCACCAGGGATAAACATTTGAGTTGACTGCAACTCTCAGAA